CCACACCAAGAGCAGAGGGATCCGCACCAGAAGCAGAGAGATCTGCACCAAAAAGCAGAAGGAGGGCGTGGATGTTTGCCCTGATCTCCGCACTCTGACCCAGCCAGGCGTTGGTTGTAATCACTCTCCACCCATGTGCTGCGCTGGTTGTCACAAGCACAGTGCCCCACATGTCACAAATCACTCCATTATCTGATGGCAGATGTATTAATTCCTTCAAACTAACTTGTAAACCGGTAACTAGCCATAAGAGTGGCCAGAGTGAGCAGAACACTCAGATGGATGGTGTTAGGTGCCATCATCCACCATCCTCCTCTGTCTCTCCCAGTGCTGGCCGTGTGCTAGTGGCTGGAAATACCACCTTCTGCCACATTAAGGATTTTAGGTTTTTGTGATTCTTTTTGCGCCTCTAAAATGTAATCTGTTCCAAGCTATAATCTTTTTTTTTGTCTCTGTGTAAAAATGAAGGCTGTGTTTGTACAATCCATGCCCCGTCATTAGGACAACGACTATTGTGTGCGGTAGGTTATTGGGAAGGAGCCGAGTATCCGTGTGGATAAAGCAAATGGAACGAGGAAAGGTGATGCAAAAGCTCATCAGCTGAGGCTGAGCTGGGGAAAATATCTGTATTCCTGACATGAGCAATCCTTCAGAAAGTATTAAAATTATTGAGTCCTGGGGACATTCAGGCAAGAATCCTCAGCTGGTAATTTCAGCTGCGAAGCTCTCGATCGAGATGCTTCTGTTCACGTAACTGTTACATACAGGGAGTCTGACAGGCTCCTACCTCTAAAAGTGTGCCCTTAGGTTAATTTAATTTGGGAAATGTTAAAGCATGGCTATGGTGTCTGAGTAGCTGCCTGCTTCAGGGAGCAGCAGACAAATACAAATAATTCCAGGAAGCTAATAGCTGCAAGTGGATTCCCATCGTAGTGGCAGTATACGACCAGGTTTAAATTACAGGATGTGGGGATTAAGGCAGGCAGTTCCCACACTTTTGGTGACTGATCCCTGTGTGTTGGACTAGAGATATTCTGGTAGAGCTGAAGCAACAGGCTGCTCTGTAGCACTGAGGCTCATCTTTTCCAGCCACATGTTTTCAGCTTGAGTGGTAGCTGCTGCCGGTGACACATCCTCCTGTGGCCCGTTCTGTATAGGGCTTGTGCCACCCCGGCAGCCCCCGGGGTGCAGGTCCAGCCGGAACGAGGCAGCGGCTGGGCAGCGTGCAGGGGGAAGGCTGGCAGCATGGCTGTCCCGGGCTGAGCGACGTTGACCCTGAAGTTGACCAGAAAAGCCAGGCAAGCGACAGTCTGCTTTGAAGGGGAGGCATGTCTGTCCTAGCGCATCCTGGGGGTACTGTGGATGATCGTTGTCTATTTTGCAGTGATGGAGAGGCGCCTGGGGGGAACCCCATGGTGGCAGGTTTCCAAGACGACCTGGATTTGGATGACAAAATCCCAAGCAGACCCGTGCTGGCAGCAGAACAGGTGCCCAGCAAGAACATCACCCTCTCCAGTGAGGAGGAGGAAGAGGAAGAGATGAAGGACTCTAAGGTCGTACTCATACCTGATGAAGACACAGAGCAGGAAAAAAAAAGGTACACAGCACAGCCTGAAGTGTAGGGTTGTGCTGGCAAACTCGGGCCCCTTCTAGGTCCTGCCACTGACTTCTGTGCGGCCTCTCGGAAGTCTTGGTGTCTCTGTCAGCCAGTCCATTCAGCTGTAGGCTGGGGCTGTATATACTTTAGGTAAAAACGCTTTATGCAGCATTTTCTGCACTGCACCTGGACAGCGTGCTCCTGTGGTCATCGGTACGTTTCTGCTTGGGAGTGGCCCAGTGGCCCAGCCTTTTTCTCAAGTTTGAACAAGAGACTGTAGCTGAGTGCCTGAACGTCTGTTCGTGGCAGTGTGAGGAGGACAGAGGAGCTGAGTCTTGTGGTGTCCTTCACCACCCCCTGTGCTGGAGCACGATGAACTGAATCATGTTCTCCACATCTTGTGAGTGACAGTCATTGCCCTGCTGGCACAGGCGCCTGTGCATGAGCATCCTCAGGGATGAGGACCGTCTTCAGCCTCTGAGTGGGGTGTGTTGGAACACACACCCCCCCTGGGATGAACCACCTTTCCTCTTGAGAGGCACATTGCAGCCCTTGGGGCAGGCTCAGCTATTAACGGGTGTTTGTGCACCGCAGAGTGGGAGTGTGGACAGGCTCTGACAGTTTCTTTCTTTTTTCTCAGGTCTTCCAGAAATTCTCTGAATCCACAGAGTGAAGCAATTTTGACCAAAGCAACTGACCCGAAGCCTCCTGACAGTTTACCTCCACGTTCTGGGTCTGAAAGAAACAGCAGCAGCAAGCTCAACACTAGCCTGCCCGCTGCCGCTGCCCCCCCAGCAGCGGTCCTGGCCCCAAAGACCACTTCCCAAAGCAAAGGACATGCTCTCAAGCAGAAAGTGGTCAAAGAGGAAAAGCCCGAGGAGTCTGACAGTGATCAAGAGGGACCAATAGCTACTCAGATGCTCTCATTTGTTATGGATGACCCAGACTTCGAAAGTGAGGATTCTGACAGCCAGAAGAAGAAAATGGTAAATAACATGCATGAGTCACTGCACGCTGCTGCAAAGCTGAGCTTGAAGTGTTGAGGCATCTCCCTGAGCAGAGCTTTCATCTGCTCTCTCATCTCTCAGTGGCCGTAGCAGCAAGTCAGGTGCTAAGCAACCTGAAAAGACCGATGTAAGCACAAACCCACTGATGCTCTGATGGTTCGAGCCACACAGCAACAAGGTTTGTGCTTGCAGGTTTCAATGTGCTGTTTATTCTCAGTAAGTCCAAAGCACAGTCAGTCCAGCACCATGGAAGGTATGAAATTCAAAGCTAGTGGTTTTTCACCCAAAGCTGAACACGTGGAATCGTGTGCATGCCAGAGAGAGTGAGCTCCCTGCAGTCAATCAAAAGGCCAGAGCAAACTTTGCTTGGCAGAACTTCTTACTGAAGTAGGAAAATCTGCTTGAGAAGGACTTTCCAGTGGAGCCAGGTTAGCTGAAATGTCGGTGACAGTGAACACATGGGCAGATGCTCGGAGCTGGCTGCAGGTGTCTGCTCAAACACACAGTGCAGCAGGAGTCCCCTCTGCACCTGGGGTCTACTGAAAGGTGGAGAAAATGCAAGTGTCTTCTCTGGGCTGGTAGGAACTTGGTGCTGTGGCTCTAGATGTCCCTGATTTCAGTGATCTGCACTTGGAGCCAGCAAAGCAATCTCTAGAAACTGCTCACCGTGATTTGGGATGGCAGTTGCTGTTCGGGGATACTCCTGGTGTCTGGGTTAGCTGGTGGTCAGGAGTGTTGTTTGTGTTTGCATCATTCCAGAATCCTGCAGAGGGGACAGTTGTCCCAGTTTTTTTGACCTTGCTTGTGCATTGTGCTGTTTATTAAGGAATTTTCCATTCGTTTCACAGTTTCAGTACCTGCTTTTGCTGGCACTTTAGCATGAAAGCAAATGTATTTGCAGCAAGTTTACTTCTCTTAGCATGCGCTGATGAGAAGCGGGATTTGTGAGGGAGCTTGCCGCTGCAACAGTGTCAGGGAGATGCCCCACGACTTGTGAATGCTTTTCAAGTTCAAGGGTTACCAGTAAGGCAAAGGAGTAAAAAACCCATTGTTAGCAAGGAGGAGGGGGGCACTGTCTTGGTCAGCAGCAGAGCAAAGCCTGTGTGGTCAGTAGGATATAAAGAAAGGATGGTTAACGAATTCTGAAGAGGCTCAGTTGGCAGGTATGAGAAGATCATTAAACTTCATTTCCATTCCCATCATGTAGAGCCAGAGGATTTTTGGGTGATATCCAGTCTCTGCAGCATCCTGGTTTTTAGCCCACATTGAAGGGGGCTAAAAATTTCCCCTGGGAGCACCGTCCCTTTTGACTCAGTGGAGGGAGTTATTTTGCCAGCACAGACCTCGTTGCCCCTGGTGCACGAGGCCCCGCAGAGCTACACAGGAAAAGGGTTTTGTCTGGCAGGTCTGGAAGTGAGTTTTCAGCCTATTAGATTTGATTTTCCCCAAAACAGAGGTGCCTCTCTAGGGCAGTTAGAGGCTGATGCTGTTAACACAGTTCAAGGTCTTGTTTAATCCCTTTACGTCAGAAATTCGATTTTGGTAGCACGACTGTTAGGTTATCAGAGCACACTCTCCAGTACCAGTGCTACTGAGACACTTTACCGAGGCAAGAAATAGATAGAGCTTACAAGATCAAGGGCATTGATTTCCAGGCAGTAATGGCTCAGTTCAGCTCCCATTGCCTTCCCTCGTCCCTGCCTGCTGACCTCTCATGTCTTTGTATAAAAAAACGCGCAGAGATTTTGCTTGAAAAATTTGTCTGTGTTGTCTGCCTTTTCTCGTGTCTAGGATGAGTTCCCGGTCCGGGAAGATCTCTCTGAAATATCTGATGATGATACCTCGTTGGCAAAGCCACCCCAGCCTGTGAAATCCACAGTCCACTCCTTTAAACTGAAAAATGACTCGGATCTCTTTGGTTTGGGTTTGGAAGAAACTGGTCCCAAGGAGAGCAGTGAGGAAGGTAAAGTTCACACCTTATTTCCACTCCTGCTGATTTTGTTTGTCAGGCATCTGTTTTTTTCAAAATGGTTCCAGGGTGTAAGCAAACTAATTTGCACTAAACAAAATACCCTGTAACTTCAGGCAGTGCCCTGTGTGAGTCTTTAATGTGGTTTAACACAGCATAAATAACTTTCGTTAAGTTTTTTGCCACGGGAGGAGGGGGAACTGGGCTCGTCCGTGGCATCAGCCATGTGTTATTTCTGTCCCAGCTGGAAGCAGGAGCACGTCTTTCACAAGCTGCTTCTGTATAAGGCTTCTGCGCAGCCTTGCGTGCCTGGGAAGTGGTGCTCAGCATTGCAGTGTCCACCCCCTCAACAGTTTGGATCAATTTGAGGAAAATGCTCTGACATACCCTGTTAATTTGCTGTTCTATTTTTGGGAAAGATGGGGTGGGGTTCTGATCACAACCTAAGCATTCCCCAGGCTTTTCTTTTTTTTCCCCCGTCCCCTGAGAGAACAAATCTTACTTGTGCA